GAAATGGGGAATAAGCAAAGGTCATGTCCCCAGGGAGTAGTGAGGAATAAGTAAGGGTCATGGATGGAATTGGACCAAGGCTTCCCACCCTTACTTGGGCCATTGTGTAACTACTATTCTTGTCCCCTTGGAGGGTTCCCAGACACTGGAATATCATCACCGCCACAGGCAAGTGTTACTGTGAACCTACTGTGCGCAGCACAAAGCACAGCTGTGTGGCTATGACAAGAAGTTTAAGACATGGATGAAGGCAAGATGGGGCAAGCATTGCCATCCAATTTATCTCCTTCAAGAACCTCATTGACAGGTTGTAAAAATAGGAGGCTAGAGCCAATTTCAGGGCAGCAAGCAAGAGTAACTTATAAACACGTTTGTAGCCTCTGGAGTGGCAGTCAGGAAATAAAAATAAAGTAAGTGAATTGAAGACTATCACTTGGCAATTCAGTAAGGAAGGTGAAGTCTGTGGTACCCGAATCCAAACTACTCCTCCCTTGCCCTTATAACCTAGTGAGGCTTAGCATTGGGTGGTGGGCCTGCCTCAGCCCACAGCAAAGTTTCCTCTAGGAGCAGGATGCCAACATTTCTCAGGCTCCTGCAGCTGCTCATGGCTGAGTCCAGAGAGAGAGTGAGTTAGTAGTGGGATTTCTTCTTTGGCCCGCAGAGAGCACATGGCAGGGCTAGTTAGTTCCATGCCAGAAAAGGCAAGCTCTAAGGACTTCGGCTACTGACGCTCCCCCAAGCCCTGGCACTGGGAGAAACTTGCCACTCTTCCTGCTCCTACATCCAGAGCCCTGGCTCCAAGATTTTTCAGCCTTAGCGGGGAAAGCCGACTACATAACAGCACTACGTTTCTTCCCAAAGGGACTGATCGTATTTGTAACCGAGCGTGGACAAGTTTAAGCCTAAAGGCACCTTCAGGAAGAGAAGAGGTCTTGTGGAGGGAACTAAAGGATGCAATGAGCCAACCTAAACCAACCCCGCTAGAGCAACTGGATAAAGACAGCTGGAATGGTCTACGTGGAGTCGAACCCCAAATCCTGAGCCAAGAACACGTTCTTCCAAACGAACCAGAATTTGATTGGGTGATTTAAATAGTATTTGTCTTTAAGGAACAATACTGAGAACAATAGAGCAGCCAGCTGCCACTTAGCACAGGTCAGTCATTTGGTAGAGTCTGAAAAGAGGGAAAAGGAATCCCCAGCAAAGCCACTGTCATCTGGTGACTGTGGACACGTGAGGGCTGCACCTCCAGAGCCTGTTAGAGACTTCCGTGCTGTGGGAAGGGAAAGAAAGGTCCATAAAGCAATCGGTTATTAGGCAAGGAAATGGCAGCATCAGGTCTATTCAGAGAGCCGTGTTCAGCGTTGGTACAAAATATGCTGTTTCCAACCCAAAACACGAGGCAAGGGAAGGAGTGGGAAGAAGAATCTCCATGACCACTGATACTTCGTGCAAAAGTAGCCACATGCCATTTGTCAGGAAAATAAAAACCCCAAACCACCACCGCTGCCGCCGCCGCCACCACCACCACCAACAAAAACCATGCCACCATTGTAAATCATCCACAGAACCAAAGGAAACCATAGTTAACAGAAGACAACGTTGTGTCACACCGATGCTCAGACAGAAATAGTGTTACCAGAACCACACGGAGGTTCCAGAGTTAAACACAAAAGCAGCAATAAATTCAGGAGGAGGTGCAATGGGAAGTCTGACCTGCAAGAAAGTTCCTCTGGCTGCTGAGAAGAATATGCACTCTGCAGAGGATGGGGAGACTATGCTGTGGGTGGTTTTGTTTTTAAGTCATTTGAGCTGGGGTGCAGATTAATTCTGAAAGTTCTGAGCTGACTTTTTTGTCTAGATGGCCCATTGATTGGTGAGAGTGGAGTACTGATTACCTAGATCTATTTTGCCTTTTTCCGTGCAGTGGCACAGTGGCATTTGCTTCATCAAACTGGCTGTACCAATGTGCTCTCTCTCTCTCTCTCTCTCTCTCTCTCTCTCTCTCTCTCTCTCTCTCTCCCTCTCTCCCCCCTCTCTCTCTGTGTGTGTAGTGTGTATATTTATAATTGTTGTATCATCTTGATAGGTTGGCCCGTTTCATCATATGTGATGATGACCTGTGTCCCTTATGACTACTTTTAGTTTGATGCCTGCTAGGTCAGTTATACGTATAGTATTCCTACTCGTTGTTGTTGTATTGCTATTGGCCAAGAATCAGCAGTGGAGAAGGATGAACAAATGGCAGAGTTTCACTTACTAGGGCCAAGGAGGTGGTATAGCCAAGAAAGTGCTTCCTGTGCAAGCTAGAGGACCTGAGTTCAGTTCCCAGCACATATAAAAAGCTGGGTGTCCCATCATGTGTCTGAAGTCTCTGAATGAGGGAGGAAGTGGCAGGGGCTCATTGGCCAACCAGCCTTACTTAAATGGTGAGTTCCAGTTCCCAGTGAGAGAGCCAGTCTCTAAATGCAAAGTGGATGGCAGGCAAGAAATGATAGTCAAGGTTGACCTCCACATGAATGTGCTTTCATACCCACATTGTGTGTGTGTGTGTGTGTGTGTGTGTGTGTGTGTGTACACACGCATGCACATACACAAATTTTGGAAAGACAGCTGTGAGAAAGAGTACCCTTTCCCTTCAGACAATCCATCTTCAAAGCTGGCCCTGACACTTGAACTCACTACCTTATATAAACTCAAAGCTTCACAATCTGCATGTATTTTGGAACATTGCTTGAATTCATTGGCAGATACATTTGTGCAGAATAAAAAAAAAAATTAAAGTTGCTGTGATGTGGGTCCCTACCTTGAGCACACACCAAAAATAATAGCCGTCCAGACTGGAGAGACAGCTCAGTGGTTAAGAACACTGGACATTTCTTCTAAGGAACCTGGATTTGATTTCCAGCACTCACACAGCAAGCAGCTAATAACTGTCTTTAGTTTCTGGATCCAGCACCCACTTCTGGCCTCCAGGAGCACCAGGCACACCCATGGTGCACAGGCGTACATGTAGGCAACACAGCCACACACACAAATGGATTAAGTAAAAAATAATAATCTTAGTGAAGATGATAGCAATGGTGATACCTTGTAACCAGGGATAGAGCAGGCTACACTCTCTGTTGGGTGAGAACTTAGAGATATGCCCATTTCTCTCTGTCTCAGTTGTCATGGAGTGATAATTCCAGCCATGTTGTCTCAGAATTTAGCTTAGCTAAGCTTTGTTTTCTTCCCTCGGTTATTATTGCCAGTTCTTGCCTTTCTGCCTTCCAAGCCACTCACCATTTAACTTTTTCCTTCTCAGTACTGGTGGGAGAATTTTCCTTTACATTTTTGTTTGTTTGTTTGTTGGGGGCGCTGATCTTACCTATATTCTCTGCCCTCACAGGACTTGTAATTCTTGTTCTGGTTTCAGACGTACTTTCCAGTGCCCTCCTGGAGCTTAAGGATTTTTCTCCTGTTCATTTTGTTTTGTTTTTTTTTTTTTTTCAGTTAATCTTCAAATTCTCCTGCTCTTTTGATGGATAGCTTTATTTTTTCATTGGCTTAGGTCTCACCAAGTAGGCTAGGCTGGCCGGCCAGTGAGCGCCACTCTCTGCCTCCCTGGCGTTAGGGTTTCGAGTGCGCACAACCACACCAGACTTTTCACTTGGGTTCTAGGGATCAAACTCAGGTCTGCACTGGAGTGCTTCCCTAAGTGACCCATCCCCATAGCCTCCTTCCACGGGTATCTAAGTAATTCTGTAATTTAACAGAGGGGCCATGAGCTAGAGTGGCTTTTCCTTGAAAGCCATCATCTCAGCAGATAGCAGATGCGTTTTTCTAACTTTGCTGTGCATTTATGATCGCAGCCTCCGCTTCACAGCCTGATACAGTCTCAGCAGGCTCATTTGCAGACAGAAAGCCTAAACTTTGCCGGGGACCAGTGCCCAGCACACACACTTTGAATTGACCCAGGCCTGCTCTACAGCTGCCTTCCCGACCAGCTGTGAGCTCGTGGGCAAATGCTACTTTTAGTGTAAACCAGCCCTCACCCTCAATGGCCTTGACTAACCGCCTGGGTCCCGTCACCCCCCCACCCCACCCCCACCCGCACCCACCACACCTGGCAAAAGGGAGTGTGTTGTTTTTCAAGTGTTTTTGGTTTTGTTTTGTTCTTTTACTCTCTCTGCTTTGCCCTGGTTGACCTGTCATACGAACTTGCCTCCCTGGCCGCCAGCTGGGTGTTTTTGATTGCGCATACATAACACACACCTGCTTAGGACTACAGTTTCTATATCTGTGCGTCTGTCAAGATCCTGGGAGCATCTCTGAGCACTCAGCCCCTGCCTCCAGATACGAGTAAAGGAAGTGGCACCTGTGTGGAGAGGTCGGGCCTGGTTCATGTGGGGCTCTCTGGTCTTCTGCCTGATTCAGCCCTTTTGTGGATGCATACACAGTGTGATGGTGCCCACTGGTTTTTTTTTTTTTTTTTTTTTTTTTTTTGCAAAGGAACCAAGAGGCTGCCAGTGTTGTAAAACTCAAGGAAGAGAGTCCCCGCTGGCTAGATTTGAGACAGCAAACTACACGAGTGTTTTCTCTATACCCGTTTACTGCAGACTACTCATCAACTACATGGCATGAATCCCCCTTCGTCTGAGGCCTGCAAGAAGGGACCCTCGCTCTGCACATAGGCCCAAGCTCGCCTCATAGCCCCCACCATGCTGGTCCCCCCCCATGGTAATTACTCTTCTCCTACATATCTTACCCAAAAGGACAACTCAGTGTTCTTCTTGAGGCCAAACCTGAGGAGACCTTTCAGAGCCAGGTCTGGGGACTCAACCATAGCATGTGCCCAGTGCTGACCATGCCCCTTGATAGTTGAAGGGGTGGACAGCTGTCAGTCACTCTCACCTTTGATCTGCTTCTCCTTGACAAGTAGACACAGCTGTTATAACCCCTGTCCCTGATAGCCCACCCAGGCATATGACAAAGGGGGGAAAAAGCATAAGGCTCACCAGTGTCAGGCATGGGCTCTGGCCAGCCTGCGCAGTCCAGTCCCATTGGGGCACTCTGGGAGAGCAGGTGGCTTCTTCTAGGGAGGTGCAGAGACTCTGGAGAGGTGGTGATTGTCTTTCTCCAGCACTGGGGTGGGAGGCAAGTGAAGAAACAGGCTATTAGTGCCAATTCCTAACTTCTTTAGCTGCCCAGACACTTCCCGGTGAGCAGAGTCCAATGCCCAAATGCACACTACTCTGGGAGGTCTGGTTCATGCCCAAATCCATGAGGGAGGTGACTCGTGGGGTCTGGAGTATGTGAGGACAGTTCTGCAGCCCCTGGTGGGACAGATTACCTTCAACTATGTGGAGTAATATCTGCAGAGGAGGCTTCAGATACCACCCCTACAAAGCTGGTCAGCCAGACAGCTTTGTATTTCTTCCCAAACAAAACTGTTTACTGAAAGCATCTACCCAAAGGACTCTCCATCCTACCGCTGAGACACTTGCTCATCCATGTTTATTGTGGCTCTACTGAAAACAGCCAGAAGTTGGAAATAGCCTAGATGTCTGGTAATGGATGACTATAATGAAATTGTAGTACATTTACACAATGTAATATTACTCAGCAGTTAAAAAACACCCTTAAACTCTCAGGTGAATGGGAGGAACTAGAAAAAAGGATCATTGTGAGTGAGGTAGCCCAGACCTCAAAAAGTAAACAGGTCTGGGCTTTTTATTTGTCAATATCACTGGCTATTCGTATATTATGGTTTCCAATTTTGAGTGTTGTGGGGTTGTGTGTTTGTGTGTGTTTATTTCTTATGCTTTCGTAGTATTTTGTTTGTTAGTTAGTTTCTTCCTTTTGTTCTATCCTTGTTTGTTTGTCTCTTATATTTACATGTTTTCTTAAGAGAGAGAGAAAAAAGGCATGGAGTTGGGAAGGATCTGGGAGGAGACGAGGAAGGAAAACTATGATCAGAATATATTGTGTAATAGTTCTAATTATCAGATTATATTGTGAAATAACTCTATTTTTAATAAAACATAGAGTAAGAAGAACATATGGTACACACACACACACACACACACACACACACACATGGAATAATGGCTAAAACCTTCCCAGATGGGATAAAAGGCATTGCCATATAACACAGGACTCAGGAAAGTTGAAATAAGAGATACCAGTCTGTCAGTTCCAGGGGGGCACTATAAGCAAACAGCTTTGGAGATTTATTGATTTAAGACTGTGTGTGTGTGTGTGCTTGCGTGCACATACACTTGCGTGGAGGTCTCTAGTAACCCAGAAGAGGGCATCGGATGACCTAGAACTGGAGTTACAGACAGTTGTGAGCTGCCTTATGTGGGTGCTGGGAATTGAACCTGGGTCCTCTGCGAGAGCAGCCAGTGCCCTTAACCACTGAGCCACTTCTCTGGCCCTTAAATAAGCAGCTTTGAAAACTAAAGACAAAGACTCTGGAGAGCAGCTAGAGGCCAGCCAAACACAAAGCAGAAAGCCCCCCAGTGATGGTGAGCCTTCCCGGAGGGCAGGCTAACTGCCTTTATGAATGAGTCTTAGGGGCATTTCTCTAGGCTCTACTTCTGCTCCTGTTTGAAAATGGGCTCCCAGAGGGCACTTCACCTCCAATGTCAGCGATGCTCAAGTCCTCCATCTTTAGACTCAGGGCTCCTGAACAACTCTCTGGACTCATCTGTTTGGATGTACCAGAAGTGCCACTGAGTCAATGAATGCAAAACAATTTCAGTTCCAATCCTGGTCCCCATCCCAGGCACAAGATGTTGTTGTCCCTTCAGAACTTATCTGCTGAAGCTCTGGTACCATTGTGCTGGTCTAAGGAGCAGGGCTGTCGGGAGGTGACTAGGTCAGCAGAGTGGAAGGCGTCTTAGAGGAATTGTGACCTCTGTGAGAAGAGGCTCAGTGAGCTGGCCATGAGATAATATGAGGAGAATTCAGCCACCCGCAGCCCACAAGAGGACTCTCACAGGAGTCCAACTATGCCAGTGAGTAGAAGCTTGCTCTCTGTAGGGAGGGCAGGGACAAGCCTCTGGCGAAACTACAGACTGCTCATACATGTTGCAGTGAGAACCGAGAAAGAGCTACAATGGCCAAGTCTAGAACTAATAAAGTCAGAGATGGACAGGGTAGGGTTGCAACCAGCCTGAACTGGGTGGATCATCGCCTAATTGGTGGAAGATGCCTAGAGTGTGGGCCATGAGAATTAACCAATCTCAAGGTTTCTGCTATGGCGCTGTAGGAGTCGTCAGGCAGGGAAACTAGATGGTTGTTTCCATCTCCCTTTCTCAGGAGATCCTCTTTCTTTCCCTTACCCCCGTCTCACTTTCTGGGATTGCCCTTATAAAGCCTGGCACACCCTGACCATGACAATGCCCATCTTCAGTGAACTTGGAGCCACTGCCTAGGTTAGCCTTTGATAACCCTGGGTATTCAGCATCCTGGAGCCTCAGGTTATACACAGCTGTGCCACGAAAGGACCCATCATACTGAAACACTGGGTACCATTGGCATTCTGATTTTGGACTCCTAGCCTCCAGAGATAATTGTCTATCTATGGCAGCTTGAATGAGAATTGCCCCCCCAATAGGTTCATTTATTTGCACAATTAGTCCTCTGCTGAACTGTTTGGAAGTATGGCCTTGTTGAAATGGGTGTGTTCTTGGAGGAGATTCGTCACTGGGGGTGGGCTTTGAGCTTTCAAAAGCCCATTCCAGGCCCAGAGTCAGTCAATCAATCAGCCAGTCAGTCTGTCTGTCTGTTTATCTGTGCCCTGCCCCCTCTGCTGCCTGTGGATCAGGATGTAAACCCCGTAGCTACTGTTTTCCCAGTGCCATGCCTGTTTGCTTCCCGCCATGATGACCATGGATTAATCCTCTGAAGCTGCAAGCAAGCCTCCGATTAAATGATTTCTTTTATGAGAGTTGGCTTGGCCATGGTGTCTCTTCACAGCAATAGATCAATAACTAAGACACCATCTGTTGTTGGGAAGCCATGAATTCTATGGAGCCATTGAGAAGCACCCAGACACCACACAGCAGGCTCTGTCTTCCCAATCTCAGGAAATGATACCATTATTCATCTGCTCAGCTGACAGTCAAGCTGGGATCCAAGGACATATTAGAATCTTTCTACCGCTCCAATGGCCAATCATGGTCAAGTCCCGATGGTTAACTAGCAAATACCAGATGGAGATCTTTTAAATATCTCTGTGCTCTTCTCAGAGAGAGGCTATAGCACGTGGTGGTTCAAATGTGGCCTGAAGCCAGACTTTCTTGGTCCAAATCCTACCAGCAGTGTCTCCTATTACTAGTGTTGGACAGCCATTTCCTTCACTGAAACATTCCTGCCTGGAGCAACTTAGAAGGATCAGGAATACGAATGAAAAGTTCTCATTAGTTATGAGAGTTAATGCAATAGGGGTCTGCTCCTTTTGTGTGTGTGTGTGTGTGCATGTGTGTGTATGTGTGTACTCATGCATATGCACATTTGTACAGGTACACATACACATGTGTGGAAGCCAGAGGTTGGAGTTAGGTGCGTTCCTCTGTCACTCCACACTTTATTTGTTGAGGTGGCATTGCTTTGCTGGTCCTGGAGCTCACAGATTGGCTCAACTGGCTGGCTGGGAAGCTCTTTGGATCTGTCTGTCTTCATCTTCCCAGCTCTGCAGTTCCAGACACGTGTGGCCACACCTGGCTTTTTATGTGGGTGCTGGGGATCTGAATGTAGACCTTTATGCTTGCTTGGCAAGCACTTTCTCCAGTAAGCTATCTCCCCAGCCCCATGGAAAAAGTTATTTAAAAGTGAAGTTAATAAGTCAGCTACAACTGAATGGGATAGGTTTCTGTCTGCCTGTAGGTGGCCCCTGACTTAGGATGTTCCAGTTTATATAGCGTAACAGGGATGTGTCCATTTAGTGGAAACAGCCTTGGAATTGGATTTGGGTCTGGTGGTAGGCAGTACATTGCTCTCTGCTGGTCACAGGAGAACAGATATGCCAGCATTCCCTGTTGTGAGTCTGAGTAGGATAGGTTAGTGGAGGTGGGGGGTGTGGCTTGCCATCTTAGAGGTATGATGGAGCTACATCCTGATGACCTCATCTAAGTCAAGGACCACATGTACTCCCAAAGCTCCTGACATCTCCCGGGGGCTCTGGTCTCCACCTGTGTTGTTGTTTCTAGCTGTGAGCTACATGGTCAAACGCTGAATCAGTGAGCTGATGCTCTGAGTGATGAGAGGTGAGAGGGCCCAGAGTCTCTGGTTATACCTTGGGGAGGACATGCTGGGCCTTGCAAATACCAAGCACCCACTCTCCCGTGAGCTACAGCAGCTTCGCCCATAGTAGATTTGTAGTTAAGATGCTATTTGTCTTATCTGAGTTCATTTGTCAGCGTCCTTCTAAAACAAACTGATATCATCAACACTGAGATTTAATTTTGCACATAACTGTCGTCCAGGTAATTCTTACTGGGTTTCTAATTATATTTTTATCTGTATCATCAGTTTTACATATTCTTTCAGTCATACAATGAAATGGAAGCCTTAAAGTAGAAGTACACACATCACCTTGTGAATCTGAGAGCCACACCCTCGGTTTCTTTTCTCACACGTATTCTGATTTGCACTTTCTTCTAAAACAAGTTTTAAAATAATGCTGGAGAGATGGCTCAGTGGTTAAGTGCACATAGTACTTCTTGCAAAGGACCCGAGTTCAGTTCCCAGCACCCACATCAGGTAGTTTACAAACACCTGTAACTCCAACTCTATGGACTTGAAACCCATTCCTGGACTCCAAGGGCACCCACAACACACACACACACACACACACACACACACACACACACACACACAATGTTGAAAGAATAACAAACATATTTTGAAATATTTTAAAGCATGGATCTGAAAGTTATCATTGCATGTATTTGCGTGATATACAGTGATATCAGGCCTTGATTTTTTTCAGTGCTGAAGGTAGGAAGCTTGCACATGCTAGGTGAGCACCCCACCATTAAGCTATTTCTCCAATCCTGTGATTCCTACCAGGATCACACCATCAGCTCAGCCTCACCTCAAGCGTCTGACTCTCCTGCTCAGCCTGCTGAGCCCGGGATTGCAAGATGATTAAATTGAGCTAAGTAACCCATTTCTCACATCAGACCCTTGACATCTTTTATGGGAAGAATACTAGGGTTTGTTTTTTCCCGGTGACACTTGAATGCACAGCCCTGAAGATTGGTAGGATGGCTCAGTGGGTTGATGGCACCGGCTGTCAACCCAGAGAGAACTGACTCTTGCAAGTTGTCATGGGATTCCCACATACACACCTTGGCATGTGCCTGCATACACTAAATAATTACATGTAAGAAATCTAAAGCACTGTATGACAGTTATTCACTGTGCTGAGCAGGAGATACAAAACAGGATTTGTCCCTTTGGCTGTCCCCACTCTGATACCCCCAGCCCTTGCCTTGCTGGTAACCATCATTCTATTCTTGGCCTCTATGATTTCAGCAGCTTTGGAAAACACGTGGTATTTGTCTTTAGTGTCTGGCTTACTTCACATCTCGTATGGTTCTCCAATGCAATCCTTGATGCAAATGACACAAATCACTCCCCTTTTTTGAGATGAATAATATTCCATCTCGTGAATGGGCCACATTTTCTGTATCTGCCCATTGTTGATGGACGTTCAATTTCCGTATCTTGTCTACTGTGAATACTGCTGTTACGAACAGTGGTCTGCAAAGGGCTCCTCAACATCCTTATTTCAAGTCTGTAGGTAAATACTAAGAAGGGGGGGTTGACTCATGCAATAGTTCTATTTTTAGCTTTTTTGAGGAACTTCCATCCAGTGTTTCGAGATGGCTATCCTAATACAAATTTTTACTAACGGTGTGGAAGTGTTCAATTTTCTTCACATTCTCACCAGCATGTTACCTTTCAACAACAAAACAAAACAGAAAAGAAGTTCCAGGGAGGAGAGGCCCTGCAGCCCCCGATGCTTGTAGGAGGTAACAGTGCAAAGTGTCAGTCAGGCAATTTCCCTAAAAGTTAATCACAGAATTACCATCTGGCTCAGGAATCCTACTGCTAAGCATGTACCCCAAAGAACAAAAATCACATGTTCAAACGTGTAGTGTTCCAGGAAATAACATTAACTGCAGCCAGAAACTGGAACCAGTTCAAGTGTCTATTGATGAACCATTAAAGAAATATCTACACGTAATGAAATATCCAACCATAGAAAAAAATGAACTCCTGTTAGATGCTAACAGTTGGAAGGACCTTGAAATCATTGCATTAACGAAATAAGCCAGACACCGGTCACATGTCACACAATTCCATTTCCATGAAATGGCCAGGGTGGACAAATCCATGGGAAGGTGAAGCGGACCGGGGCTTCCCAGTGGGCACCGGCTGCTCATAAATATGGGGTTTCCTTTTATGATAATGAAAATATCTTGGGAAAAGATATTCTATTTGTAGGAAAATGGATGGATCCAGAAAACATAGTGGGGTGATTCAGACTCAGACAGACACACACCGTAAGTTTTTTTCTCACTTGTGGCTCTTAGTTGTTAATTTATGTATGTGTTTATTTGTGTGGAAGTGAGTGTGGGCAGAGGCCAGGAGACTAGAAATGGGCCGTGAGAGAGGGAAATGGGTGTTAAGGGAAGGGGTGTGGAGGGTAGTGGAACAATTGTGATAGGAAAATGGAAGGATTCTGAAGCAAAAGGGCTCAAGCAAGGGAGGGATGTTCGGGAGAGTGGAGAAGAGGGTCAGCTGTAACAAAGTATGTTTCAGAATGGCATGATGGAACCTATGCCTTTCCATGTTACCTCAAAAACAATTCTTTAAAAATGCAAAACAGTAAGCCTTGGGTTTCGGTAGAGATCTGCTTGCAAAACACTGCAAGCAGACTAAGCCGGACTCAGGAATGTGTACTTCAGAGATACATGGCAACAACCTTACTATTTTATCAAGGGAGAGGGAAAGAAAAAAAAAATCAGCAAATTGAAAATCGAGAAGGTACTTGGAAAGTCTGTGAAGTGCCTTCTTTTTAAAATTTTTGTTGCAATTCGTTTATCTTGCATGGGGAGGTCAGAGGGCTTGCAGGAAGCGGCTCTTCCTTGTACAATGTAGGGGCCTAGGAAGGGAACTCAAGTAACCATCAGGGCTGGGTGGGAGGTGAATCCACCTGCTGAGCTCTTGCTGGCCCGAGTGAAGTTGTTTATAATAGGCTGTCAGTTGCATGGGATCCAATGCTGACCACCGGATTGGGTCAGATCCCACAGGAGGAGTGGGGAGCAGTGTTCTGGGAACTCTGGGGCAGCTCCTGCTGAGCAGTGTCTTTTTACACCGCTATAGCTTGGCCTAGACTGTCCCTCAAATGCTTGTGTGTTAAAAGGCTTGGTAACCCTTGGAAAGCTTGGGAAGCATGGGAACCTTCAAGAGTTAGAAGCCAGAAGACTTTATGCAATGAGGGGTACCTGCAAAAGGGAATACGGGCCCCAATCTTCTTTTCTGCCTCTTTCCAGCTGCCATGAGTTCACTGGGTTTCCTCTGCCGTGTACACCCACTATGATATACCAAGCTACCACAAACCCAACAGGGACTGAGACCTCTGAGGAAATGAGAAATGGTTTTTTTTTTTCTTTTTTCTTTGTGTTTAGGTGTGTGTGCATGCGTGTGTGTGTGTGTGTGTGTGTGTGTGTGTGTGTGTGCAGATGTACATATGTGTAATTATATTTAGGGGGACAGAGCATAACCTAGCATGTCATTGCCCAAACATCATCCATCTTGTTTTTTTGTGACTGGGTCTCTCACTGGCCAATGTGGCTATGCCGCCTGGTGGTCAGTGAGCTCCCGGGGACCCACCTGTCTCTGCTTCCATGCAGCTTGATTACAAACATGTCATCAGCCTGTTTTATTTTTAAAATGAGAGTTTGGAGAGTTGAACTCTGGTCCTCAAGTGCTTTTTATCTTTATCTACTGATTTATCTCGGGCATTTATGACAGTAATGCGAAGCTAACTAACACATAGGTTCACACTGGTCAGCTCCTGTGACTCAGGGGACCAGGGGTGACAAGTGTCAGTGCAGGACAGAGTCAGGAAATGGCAGACACCCGGACCATGTCAGAAGACGCCTGGCCTGTGGCATCTTCTGCTGCCTTACCTGAACTTGGTCCTGGTGCTCTGTCCCTGTGCACATCTTTCTTCTAAGCTGCATCTGTTTCTCCAGCTTCCTCCTCAGAGTCTTTTCTATCCATAGGTCATCCAAGCTGAACTGGGAGTGCCGCGGGGCCCTCCTGAGCTGTGACGGGGCCTCTCTGGGGACTTGCTCTGTGGAGGTGGAGGGCACTACTTCAGTGGCAGACACCAGCTGCTGAGTAGGCTCTGTGTACGTTTTCTGATCACAGGAACAACTGGACTTCTTGTCTGGCTGTTTTCCCCGGACAGTGTAGCTCTGGAGAGCAGAGAGAAAGAGAGGTCATCAGAGATCAGAAAAAGAATAAATCAGCTAGGGATGCTGCTCTTCCCCTGGAGTCTTTCAGATATAACACATTTTTTTTTTTTTTTTACTTATTCTCAAAGTAAACATTACATAGAGGTGCTTCATTCACAATAATTTTGAAAAGTATTACGATTAGATGCCAGGCAGGCAGTGGTGATGCATGCCTTTAATCCCAGCACTCGGGGAGGCAGAGGCAGAGGCAGGAGGATCTCAGTGAGTTTGAGGCCTGCCTGGTCTACAGAGTGAATTCCAGGACAGTCAGGACTGTTACACAAAAAAACCCTGTCCAAAAAAAAAAAAAAAAAAAAAAGACATAAAACAAATCTCTTTTCTATTATAATGTCTACTAAGAACATTTTAAACAACAAAGGCTTCTGATTTGATCAAAGACCATATTAATGGACTTGGCATGCCCATTAGAAATACCCATGTGTGTGCTGGTATGCATGTGCCAGAGGAGGTCAGAGGTCAACTTCAGGGGTCATTCCTTAGAAGTGGTCACCCCGTTTTCCCGTACAGGGCCTATCACTGGAACCTGGGGCTCGCTGACTAATCTGGGCTGGCTGGCCCTTAAGTCTGCTTCCCCAGTGTTAAGATTACACATACATGTCATCTAGCCCAGCTTTTTGAAGCGGGTTCTGGGGGACTGAATTCAAATCCTCACACTTGTGACGAGAACACTATCATGATTGAGCCTGGGAAACATGTCTGTATCCCAGAGCTCTTGCTCAAACAGAGCATAGTTCTCACCTCCCAGCCACTCTCTCTGTCTCAGTTCAGGGCCAGCACTTAGACATCACGACCATTTCAAAATTAAACCTGTCCGCGCCAGAAGAGCAGATGGAACTTGTGTTCACATCTCCACAGTCTGTTCTTTGAAACCAATCCATGACCACAGGGAGAAGAAACCCATTTATTCCCACGCTCATGAAATTAACCCATCAAACTTAGGGGTTTATGCTTCTCCCAGAAGCCATAGAATGCCAAATAGAAAGCCAAGTATCATGTGAGGGATGCCTTCGGTCAAGTGGTTAGAGGTGTCCAGAGACCTCCAAACAACAGAGGCTCCGATCAGCGTGGCTCTTTGTTGCCCGTGGGAATGGGATGTTGAGACCCTATTGCTGAAGACACCACACTTATTGGTCACAGTCTCCATGGAGAAATTAAGGTGGTACTGGCCAGGCACTACACAGGCTGCTGGGGAAAGTATCATCAACAGTCTTACCTGTAAGCTATACCGATGATCAGCATGGCAAACTATGCCCATGGGCCCAGCAGAGGCACATATGTTTATGGGCGGAACCAGCTGGCTTCTGATTCCATTTGAGATCCACAGCACAGGAGGAAACACATGTGAGACCCTGCAAATTTGGCCAAGAACCAATGGCTGCGGAGCTCTCTGGCTGCTTATTACTGTTATTTTGCTAAATGGGTGTAGAAACAAACTTCCCTCTAAATCCATCTCTCTCTACATGTAGATCAGTGTGGCCCCCAGACCTTATCGTATATTTCTCTGTGAGGTGGCTGGCGGTTAATGCAGAAATACATACAGCCAGTCAGAGTGCAGAGAGTAAGTGTCAGCAGAGTCCGGTTACAAATGGAACATCTATCTCCAAACTCACATTTTAAAAATAAAACAGGCTGATGACATGTTTGTAATCAAGCTGCATGGAAGCAGAGACAGGTGGGTCCCCGGGAGCTCACTGACCACCAGGCGGCATAGCCACATTGGCCAGTGAGAGACCCAGTCACAAAAAACAAGATGGATGATGTTTGGGCAATGACATGCTAGGTTATGCTCTGTCCCCCTAAATATAATTACACATATGTACATCTGCACACACACACACACACACACACACACACACACACACACGCATGCACACACACCTAAACACAAAGAAAAAAGAAAAAAAAAACCATTTCTCATTTCCTCAGAGGTCTCAGTCCCTGTTGGGTTTGTGGTAGCTTGGTATATCCAAGCCCCTCTCAAGCCATGTTGCTGTCCTCAAAAACCCTACACACACTCTGCTGATTCTTTTTTATTCTTAACTGTGTGTGGTGTATGTGCATGTATGTACATATGCATGCATGCATGTCTGGGTGTAGGTGCACATGTATGTGGGAATGCATGTGAAGGGCTGAACTGAGGTTGGGACTCACCCTTGGCCACCCTCCTATTTCCTTATTCATGTTCTTTTTCTTAGTGTGGGTTTTCATTTAAACCCAGAGCTTGTGGTTTCAGTTAGTCTCACTATCCAGTTTGCTCCTGGAGTCCCCATTTCTGCCTCCCAAGGCTGAAATTTCAAGTGGACCACAATACCCGTTTGGCCTGCCCACAATTTCTAGGGGATTCAAACTCTAGTCTTTAAGATTGCACTTTAACTGGCCAGCCCTCTCCCCAGAAATTTCTTAAAAATCTAAACACGTGCTTGTCCCGTGACCTGACAATCACACCATTGGGCTTTAGGCCTAAGCATGAAAACGCATGTGGGTAAATATTGGCACAAGTTTTACTGTGATGCCTCAAATCTGAAAGCAGTCTTTTAGTAAATGAGTCATTAAAGATAAAATATTACTTAGCCATTTAAGAAGAAATTAAAAGGGATTATTGGCAGATGCAACAAATTAGTCAGATGTCAAAGGACTTGTGCTGAGTATGAGAAGCCAACCTCAAAAAGTAACATTTTTGAAGTTTAGTCATATACTAGTACATGACAGTAGCTCATCCAGGGTCTCAAGGACATGGGTATAAAGGGGTTTAGCCCAAGGGCCAGGGATTTGTATGTCTTGCCACTGATAGTCATTACGTGGCTCTGTCCATGGTATAAAACAGAAGCCGTGGATAGACTGATCATTCCTCACATGAAGCCAAACACCCAAAAGATACAAAACCTGAAAGAGTTTAAGTTCTGGTTGTACCTCATATTCTAATTGGTCTTAATAATATAACCCTGAGTCAGATATCGGGGTAAAAGCTGAAGGATCAGAGAGGCAGAGCAGCCAGGCACTAGTTCTTATCTCTACCGGATCCTCAGACCAAAGGGGCGATCCTGTCCCAACCAATCCTCAGATTGAATGCAGTGAGCTCCTGTCTCCTCCTGCCTTACATTCCTCTCTCCACCCAGCTGTATCACTCCCATCTCCACCTCCCTAGTGCTGGGGTTAAAGGTGTGAGCTCTGTGAGACTGGATCAGTCTAGTGTAGACCAGGTTGGCCCTGAACTCATCTGCTTGCCTCTGCTCCCAAGAGCTGGGATTAAAGGCGTGTGCCACCACTGCCTGGCCTCTATGGCTAACTATTGGCTTTTGCTCTGCACGCTGATCTCCAGGCAAGCTTTATTTGTTAGATCAAAAACAAAAGATCACCACACCCGATTCTATGTCTCAAATGGAAAATTCTGTATCTGACCTCAGGTGGTCCCAACACAAAAGATAATCTAAGACACCAAATGGATGACCTCCAGGCTGTGAGTCAGCCATGACACTGGAGAGTTCTGAGCTTAAGATTCATTGTATTTGTATTCATGTGTGTTTACACATATCTATGTCAGTGTTCATGGAAGGCAGCTGAGGGCTTTGGACCCCCACCCCCCCAGAGCTGGAGTTACGGGTGGTTGTGAACCTCCTGAGGATGCTGGGAACTGAACACCAGCCCTCTACAAGAGCAGCAAGTGCTCTTAACCTCTGAGACATGTCCCTGGCCCAGCTTTGAATTTAAACTTGGGTGTCACGTAGATATACATAGACACACACAGAGATACATACACACACAGACATACACACACACAGATACAGACACACACACAGACACATAGAGACACACACACACAGAGACACACAGATACAGACACACAGACTCATAGACACACACTCACTAAATAAATAAATACAGTTTAAAACCATGACAACACTAACCCAAGGAAGCATCCCTCCACCTGCCTTAAGAGGTAAAGAAAGAGTTGTTGCCACCAACAGCTCACTTACCTCACTCCCAGGAAGGTCCCTAAGGAAGGATGCTGTGCCCAGGCCGTGGTGACACTGACACCTGCTGGTGTGATCTTCCTTCTGGTTGTTCTGGTTTAGTGTTTGTAGGGAGAGTAAGAGGCTTGCCCTGCTCTTGGGCATTTCAGAGACGTCGGAACATCTGTTGGCGTCCCTACAGCTTCTAAGAGAGACCATGGAGACTGCACTAGCCCTGCCCCCAAGGCAGAGATCCACCCTCTGAGCCCCAGGCATGGGATTCGTGGGCTTGGGGCTTGTGGGTCTGCTGGGCATGCTTTGGTTTTCATAGGCCAAGTGGCAGGCAGAGCTGCAGGGGAGTGTACAGCCCTGGGCTCCAGGGCTGGTGGGCGAAGTCAGCCAGGATGGCTCTGGGAAGATCCCAGAAGAAAGGTACCTACTGCTTTCCTGGGTAGCAGTGCGTTTTATGGTCGGTTCACTTTTCCTCCTGTGTTCTGGAGAAGTCCGACAGCCGGAGGGCGGAGTTGCAGGAGACTGTAGGGGTGTCCAGGACCCCGCGCACACATGGCTGTCTGTGCTAACTGTCCACTCTTCACGGTGGCCTCTGGTTGCTGGTGGGGAAGGGCGGAGGAGTTCGGGCAAGTCTGGTCCCGGAACGCCACTCACTAAAGAGGGCCTTTTGGAGCTGTCCACATCTTTGCTTCTCAGAAATGTGCGCCAGGAGCTCTGGCCGCGCCTGCGCTTTTCTGTCTCGCCTTTGACTGAGCCCGCATTCGTTTTCTCTGTAACTTTGGCCTCAAAGAAATGGGTAAAGGTCTTATGGGCTAAAGCCAACCTTGCCCTGATCTTGCTCTCTGTTGTTTTTAGTCTCTTGACGTTACAGCTTTCTGGGGAAGGTCCTTCACCACCAAGGTCCCCTGATGTCCCCACTTGAATATCTTGGTGTGAACCAACAGAGTGGGTGTCCGGAGACACGCTCTGGTGGCAGGCTGCAAACCACGGACTCTGGGACACACCTTCCTCGGGGCTGGGGCAAGCCAGGTTCAGACCCCCTGAGGTCAAGGCCTGGCTGCTTGGTATGTCCCCTCCGGGGCTCTCCTCAGACCAGGACATGCCAGTTTTTAAAGGGGTCATCTGGAGATCGGCAGGACGCTGCTCTGACTCCAGTGCATCGGGCTGAAGCCGACCCCAAGGTCCCTGGAACTGCAAGGTTGTGTCGTGGGCCGATGCCAGGACTCCTGAATGCGGGACCCCTACCTTGCCAGCCCACACTCGGGAAACTTCTATAACCTCTGCACCCGCTGTGGCACACTCTCCCCGTTTGAGTTCTGGGCTGGTAGATTTCTGGTTCCCCTCGGGGTGGGTGTCCAAGTCTGAGTGTACACACTCAGACCCCAGGCTCGAGGTTTCCCTAAACTTCTCCTCCAGCGTCTCTTCTGAGCACAGTGTGTCATCTGAAGCAGCCCTAGGGACCAGAGATCTCACAAGCTCTATGTCTTGGGCCAGCAGCTGCGGAGCCCCATCACCCGACCCCTCTGCGGGGCATCCTGGCAATTCACATTCACTGCCACACATTGACATTTCTATGGTCCTGGGAGACTCGTAAGCTGTGGTTCCTGTGCCTCGTGGAGATTTGGGTCTTTCCCCTGAGAAATCACCGGACTGTGAGTCTAGATGACAGCAGGCCTTCCTTGTAGAGGTCTGTTTGTGTTCCTGCTTTACTGCTATCATAATGAGTTTGCAGCTGTGCTCGGAGGCCCCGTGCACCTTGGATGCCTGCTGCTGGCCTGAAGTGAAAGGCTCCCTGGAGTCCCCAGTTCCCTGTGCACACTCATTCCCGGGCCTGCAGCAAGACATTTCGGCTGTTGGGAAATCCAAAAGACTCTGCAAGGCATTCCCCCTGCCTTGGGAGTCTAGAACTGCTGCCTCGCATGCTGCTTCTGAAGGAGCAGTTATACTTGATCTCAGGGTGCTCTTTGGGGCATAGGCGTGACCATTCACTTCCGGGGAACCCACGGGCATCTCACTGTGGCTACCGCGATGTGGGAAGGGGGAGGCCCTATCAGGCGGCTTTCTCTCCTCATTGAGAATGCACTTTGATGAGTAGGTCTTGGTCTGGTTTCCTGTCCTGGCAGGGATCTTTTGCAGGCACCTTTGTTTACCGGTAGCATCATCAGGGTGGACACCATCGGGCTCCTCAAGTCTGTGCTCTGGGCTATGCTCTGGCTTGCATTCAGCGGGTTCAGGCACTTCCTCTTGGCTGCCAAGCTTCAGCAATTCTGAAGTAAGGTGGGAAGGGTCTGGGCATGACCTAGAAGCCTGTTCTACCTGGTTTTCCAGTGGGAGACCTACACAGGGTGTGTCTTGAGATGTCCTTTTAAGGCTGCAGCCACTCAGCTGGTACTCATCCTGCAAAGGAGGGGCCCTGCTTGGAGAAGTGGAAAGTAAATAAGACAGCCGGGTGGGCCCAGGAGAAGGAGTGTTAGGGACTATTTCTCTCCCGTCCCTCAGGTAGGGCCCAGATGTCACACATTTCTGCTCCAAAGGCTCCTTGAGGCAACACAAAGGAAACCCTGGTATAGAATGCGCCCTAACCAGAGCCTTTTCGTGCTGGCATCTTTGGGGTGTCTTGCCATTGGCACCAAGATTTTCTGGGACACTATGATGACACTTGGTGTCTATGAGACACCAACGTGGTAGGCGGGCTACGTCTAAACAGGAACGAAACCAGAGTAAGTCTGTGCCCACTGCGGGCCTGGAGGCAGACCCCTTCCTTGTCCTGACCCACAGAGGGAACTCATTGTCCTGCAGGCCTTTGTGAGGTAGCTCTGCTGCCCCAGCTCTGTTGTGGATGTGTGGCCAGCTCTGACCTAGTTCACAGTGTTGAAGAAAGCAGGGCCAGACCAAGGGGACATCCAAATAGCCCCTAGACCTGGCCTTTTGCAGCTGGGGACTGCTGCTGGTGGTGGTGGCACTCTGTGAGGAGGACCCAGCTGTTGGCACAGACTTCCACACCAATCTGGTCCTACAGTCCCAGAGGATTCCCTCATCCTGTTTTCCAGCGGCGGTAGCCGTTGACGTGTGCAGTTTACTCTGATGATAATATTCCTTCAAGCCTGAGAGTAAATCCAGCTCTTGCTCTGTACGGAGCCCGTCAACACAAGCCAAATGCTGCCCTTGAGGAGATCTATCTGCTGAGTCATCAGGGCATCCCCAATCTGCCTCTGTATCTGCAGACAGGCCACCTGGGGAGAGGCAGACTCCACCCGTGGGGTCCCCAGGCAGGGACTCTGCATCAGAAGCGCTCTCAAAGGGGTCTGTTTTTGTGTCTGAGCGACTTTCACTCTTATGGGACAGTGTCTCAAAATCCTCAGGGTCTATTTCCTGGCACCATTCCTGCTCTTCTGGGTCTGCAGGGGATGGGTGGAGTTGGCTATCTTCGCTCTCACCTTCACCGGGAGCGGGTGCATCTGACTCTGTAGTCTAGAAGGACAAGAAGAGAAAAATCAGAGAGATGTCCATCCCCAGGACCTCAGCGCACACATTTACACCGTCATGCATTCCTTTTTCAGGAGGGAATAGCCTCCACCATTTCCCACAGAGCTCCAGGAAGGAAGGGAAGCGTTAACATAGAAAAGAGCGCCAGGGCTGAGGGGATGGCTTCGTGAGCAGAGCGTGCCCTGGAAGCCGGACAAGCCCTAGTTTGGATCTCTGGGGCCCATATAAAAGCCAGGCCCAGTAGCTTAAGCCTGCAATCCCAGCATGCTTATGACAAGGTGGAAGGCAGAGGAATAGCCAGAAGCTCAGAAACTAGTAGGCTCGGTGTAGGCAACAACGAGGAAGAGAGGCATAGTCTCAAGGGCTGGTACCCAAGGTTGTCCTCCGACATCCTCATGTGAACTATGGTACATACATACCCTGCCCCCAAACATGAACACACAAATACACAAGCATGCACAATCACAGTGTGCATGCACACTCACACGGGTGCGCGCACACATGCGGGCACACACGCACACACACACACATACTAACATACAAATACAAATATGAACATACATGTGCAACACAGACATACACATATATATTCTCACAGTCATACTTTCATGCCCACACACACACTCACATTCATAGACACACAAACATGACTATGCAAATACATAAACATACGCACACACAGACACATATATTTCACACACTAATGCATACACACACCTGAATGCATGCATATGCACAAAGATGAAAACTGAAAAAGTAAACAAGGGATGAAGCCAAACCTGAACTGTGGGGAGAAAATGTCTTATAAGTTAAAACAGCCACCGAAAGGCCTAACAGAACATTCGAGCACTCGAAGTTTAGGTAAGCATGAGCATGCTGTGTGTCACCGTGAGAAGCATGCTTCTGTGTGGGGTACAGACATGGGATGGTATGTATGCTCAAGGTAGCTTTGAGAGCAGGAAGAAAGAGAACTTGGCAGTAACTTTGCAGGATTTTCCTCTCCCTCCTGTCTGTCTCTTGTTCATGTAAGTGTGTGTGTGTGTGTGTGTGTGTGTGTGTGTGTGTGTGTTAATCTGGGATCCATATGTGGGTGTCATTGCTTGGATTTTTGCTTGAGACAGAATCTCTCATTGGCTCATGAACTTCCATGGATCTGCTTGTCTCTGCCCACTACACGTGGCGGCTTCTTTTTTTTTTTTTTTTTTTTTTTTTTTTGTGGTCCTAGAGAATCAAACTCAGGCCCTAAGGTTTACAAAGAAAGCACTTTGCCCACTAAACCATCTTCCCCCCAGCTCTCTAGCTATACCCCCGGCCCCTTTAAAGACAGGGTTTCATTAAATAGCCTCGGATACCCTAGAACTCTCTATGTAGACCAGGCTAGCCTCAAACAGAGATCCATGTGCCTCTGCCTTCAGTGAGTGCTGGGACTAAAGGCATGCACCCCCATGCCCAATTTGCACATTTCTTAATCTGCTCTCGAAACCATGAATTCCTGTGAATCCATTTCAAGGGTACAAGTCTGGGCTGTGAAAAAGGTATCCACCTACAAAGATCTATTTCTATTTCGCCCTAAACATCCCTGTCCCTCCCCAGCCAATACGCTCCCCCTCCCAGTCCTTCCCAGGGTCAGGGATCTGACTTCTGTTAGTCTTGACTAATGGGCCCTAGAGTTTGACATGGACAGATCTACAATGTATCTTTTGGGGCCTGGCTTCATTACCGCAGGTGTCAAGCTTGTATCATGGCTACCCAACCTGCAGCCTGCAAGCTGCCTGTGACCCAAAGTAGCTATGAGTGCAGCCTAACACAAAACTGCAGAGTAGAAGGCACCGTGTGGTGATGTTCTGAGGTTAGACATGACTGCTAGCATGTCCTAGTCCATGCAATAACCTCAGGTGTGAGGTTACAGTGTCCTCGGCATTCAGCCATCAAAGTTTCCATCATTTCCCCAGGCCATGAGTGGTATAGGCACTTGTTCCAGAACCTAGTCAGGGTTCCTCAAATTCTGTACCCTTCCCAAAAAATGTGTGTGTGTGTGTGAGGTCAGAGGTCAGAGGCCATCCTCAGAGGCCTTTCCTTTTTGACAAAAGCTCTCTCATTGGTCTTGGTGTCACTGATTCACCTAAGTCTGGCCGTCCAGTAAATCCTGTTTCTTGCCTTGCTGCTCCTGGGATTTTAAATGCACGCACCATGCCCAACTCTTTACAGATACGGGCCTTGAACTCAGGCCATCGTGCCTGAACAGCAGCTCTTCGCTGATAAAGCTATCTCCCTAGTACCTGAGACCGTATTTTTAAGATAATTGCACCTGGGGCTGGGGAGGTGGCCATGGAAACCCAAGTGTGGGTCCCTAACAGTTACATGAAAGATAATCAGGGTCAGGAAGAGATCTTGTCTCAAGGAGTAGGGCAGAGAGCAATAGGGTAAGACTGGACATCCTCATCTGGCCTCCACACATGTAAACACACACACACACACACACACACACACACACACACAATAAAATAATCCACCTGTTGCAATCTGTACACTTTTCTATAAATATGTATAAACCACTTTGCAATTCTCAGCATAAGTTGATTAATAGTAAATGAATAGAAATAAAATCACAAAGTAAAAAAGTATTAACTCTCATATTAAATCTAGGCTATGACCTAGTCAAATTTAGAGGCAAGAAATCATCTTTTGACTGTGAGGCTCAGAACGTTCTAGATGGAGGAGTGGATCACATTGGGACGGTTTTTAAAAGGCAGGCTCTCCGCCTTCTCTTGGGCAGTGTACTGCCTCAGACACTAAGGCCAGAGTTCGGCTTTTCTCCTTCAACAAACAGTGAGCTCTCATGAGTTCTGGCAGAGCAGAGCTGAGAACAGGATTTCTCAGAGGTTAAGAGTGGTTCAGGGGGGGGTGTTCCAGCCCTTCCCCTCCCCCCAGGTCAGCTTCCCAGCCTCTCTCCAGATGGTTCTGGAGACACACCTCCCTTCACCGACATGAATCTCACCACGTCTCTCCTCATCTCCACTACAGATAGGGTGACATTTAACCTCCACACTCCCCCGTCTAACACTTCTTTTTTAAAAAATGTCAGTATTCTCGGACACAGTATGTTCTCGAAACAGCAATTTCAGCTGTATATACATACAAGTGATATATGCAGGTGCTTGGGATTCAAACTCACAACCTCGTGCTTGAGCAGCAAGCCCTTACCCACAGAGTCATCCCCCATCCCCGCAAACCAGTAGCCATAATGTGCAATATTTCAATGAACTCGGCAATTCTAATTTTTTTTCCTAATTCCCATTATGATTTCCTATTTGACCCAAGGTTTATTAGAAGGATAATTTAGTAGTCTTTTTTTTTTTTTTTTTTTTTTTTTTTTTTTTGGTTTCTGATTTTTATTTAATTATGCTATGGTCTGAGGTGTTGCCTGTATGATTCAAATATTCTGAAATTAGTTGAAACTGGTTCTACAGCATGGTGCAAGGCCTCTAACGTCATAAAGGCCCAGAGGTATTTGAAGGTTATGACTTGTGTTCCATGCAGCGCTTGCTAAGTGCTCATTAGAGGAAGCCTGTTGGCTGTATTTAAGTCCCTGGTGACCTTACTAGATCCCTCTCTGCTATGAAGAATGCTGACAGAGGATTTGTCCGTTTCCTCTTTGAACCCTGTCATTATCAATGTACATACTTCAGCCTTACCTGAGTTGGTAGGGGCCAGCTCAGCCCTGTCACATCTTCCCGGGACTTTATTCTTTATTAGGACTTCATTGTCCTAAGAGTTGCTTTTTCCTTAACGGATACCTTCCCCCACAGTAGTTTGCTTTCTACTTCCTTAAGTGTGGTTTCCATAATCACATACAGCTTCCAGTCACTTTTGAAAAAATACCTGTCTGCATGCACGCTGCATTTCAGAAGAGGGCGCCAGATCTCATTACAGATGGCTGTGAGCCACCATGTGGTTGCTGGGAATTGAACTCAGGACCTCAGGAAGAGCAGCCAGTGCTCTTAACTGCTGAGCCATCTCTCCAGCCCCCTTTTAGTCACTTACACCCAGAGTTTAACCCTTTCCCTTCCTCTTCTCTCTCGTTCTCTATCTTCTGTCCTTGTCTCTTATTCCTGGCACAAATTAATCTCCTTTGTACTGAGAACTTGGTCTTGGGGTCCCGAGACCATACGGAGCCTTCCAGTCTTAACTTGCATTTTACTCAATGACACTCGATGTTGAACATCTTTTCATATGTTTTACCTGCAACTTCTTTGATAAAACATTTGTTCAAATCTTCTGCCTTATTTATATAAATATGTATTAAAGTAGGGTTTCACTGTGTAGCCCTGGCTGGCCTTGAATTCTATAATTAGACCAGGCTGGCCTCAAACTCACAGTGAAGAGCACTCGCTGGTGAGGACCTGGGTTTGATTCCAAGCACCCACACTATGGCTCACAACCGCCTGTAACTGTAGTCCTGGGGGATCTGACGCCCTTTTCTGGCCTCCTTGAGCACACATGTAGTACACAGACATACATACACGTGAGCAAAACATATGCATAACATTAAAAAATTGTATTAAGAAAGGAGAAATCACAGATCCTTCACAAATAGTCCCTTCCAGTCCATGGTTTGCCTTTTAATTTTATTATTAATTTCTTTTGCAGAGTAAGGATTTGTACTAAATGATACCCAACTCATTGATTTATGTGTGTGGTTTCACATGTATGTGTATACATGTGCATGTGTGTGTATGCACAGGAGGCCTAAGTTTGATGTCTGATGTCTTCATCCAACACTCTTCACCTTATATTGACGGTCTCTCTGGTGACACCAAAGCCCAAAGCGTCTGCTATTCCAGCTGGTGGGCATGCTCTAGCAATCTGTTTCTACCTCTTGCTCTCTGAGATTGCAGGTGGCCTCAGGCATGCCCAGCATTTGCTTGGGTTCTGGAGATCCGAACTCTAATGCTCCCTGCTTGTGGGTGTCGCTCTCCCCATGG